TGTATATATTGTTTACTTGAGAATATAACAGAGAATAAACTGCCCAAATATCCTTAAACAAAGGAAAAGTACGTCCTTTATGAAGGCATAGAGCCTTTACTACATGAAAATGAAAATTAATGAATACACTGTGTACAGTAATTTACCTGATAAGACAGACCTCAGAAAAATACTTTGAGAGCTTTTATACTTTTATAAAGCTGTCTATAATGAAAATTAATTAACTAAGGATTTTTTTGTCCTGCCAGGGTGTGGCCGAGTTATCCGGAGTGCCGGGGTATCGAGAGCCGAGTTTTCGAGGTTCTATTGTATATGATAGAACAGATTGATATTGATACTAAGTTTTATAAAAAAAAAAAAAAAAGTTGTAAATGCTAATAATGAGTGAAATCTTCACGAAGTCCGATCTTACATGGAATAGACACATGATCTCCTCTGTCTCCCCATTCCATTGACCTTTAGCTATCATTCTTCTAATGCTCAAACCTCCCTGCAAAATTTCAGAGTTTTCGACAAAAAGCATGGGAATTTAGTTTCAAAGAGGTGGATAAAATTGTGTCCCCACATACACACAAATATATTCATATATAAAGAAAGAAAGACATTTTTTGCACTTCTCATTTCACAGTGCCCAGTTCAAAAATTTAAGAATCTTGGAAGGGATCACTTTTTGACCGATTGCCATACTTTTCCTCTATTTTATATAACAGCCAGAAAAGTAAAAACTGGAGTAAAACAGGCTAAACTGTTATTGGACCGCAGTAAAAGTAGGTATCAAGAAAGTTTTCTTTCTTTACGTGTTTTGAAATTTTCAATGTCAGAAGTCAATCTGAGAAAATCAAATTCACACTTCATTTATCAATATGTATTTATAGATATTGCTATGGTCTACGGCAGGGGTGTCCAACCTTTTTGTTTCTCTGGGCCGCATTAGAAGAAGTCAAGTTTTGGGCCACAAGTATATACAATACAGTATATACTTGTGGCCCAATATACAAGTACATATAATTAAGGATTAACATGTCTAGATTATAATAATAAGTATTAAAACTTTATCATGAAACAGGATATTTTAAAAAATTACTTCTACAGACACTTTCAATTTTTACTTAGAAATAGATAAATTCATTTATTTGATAAAACACAAATATTTGGTTTATTTGAGTCTCTGATTAATAAAAAGCAAAGAAACACCATTTTAAAGTGCATTTTTATTCAACTAATATATTTATAAATGATATGTAGCAGCCAAAGCGCCAAATGATATTTTTTTACGTTAATTAAACTAAAAAAAAATGTAGCCACATTTGGCTCAATGTAGCCAAATCTTGCAACGCTGGAAGGAATACTAAATAAAGCTGGAGTTTTGACTCAAGGGATTATAGAGCCAAATTCGGAAAAAGAAGAGAAAGGACAAAAGATAAAGGAGTGAGAAAAGTTGGAAAATTAAGACTCAATATTTGCCTAACAGAAGAACTATTTAACCTTTCTGACAACTTTTTATCTTTTGTTCTTTCTCTCCTTTCACCAAATTTGGGTCTATAATCCTTTGAGTCACAACTCCAGCTTTATTTAGTAATCCTTCCTCATTCACACATCTCCAAGTACATGAAAATATTTCATTTCCACTCAAAACTAAAATATGAATAAAGGTTTATGGCAGGGGTGGCCAACCTGCGGCACGCGAGCCACATGCGGCTCTTTGAAGGATTATTTGTGGCTCTCGATAAATGTACCCGAGTTCCCTTTTCATTTTTGTGTTATTATATTTTAAAAAATTATTATCGTTCCGTATGTGTTTCAAAATGTCTTTTAAATTACTAACAACAAATATGAAAGACTAAGTGCAACGTTGTAACAAATTTCATTTCCGTCCAAGTTAAGAATGATATGACTCATCGAAAACTGCGCGAACGAACATAAACAGTGGCGTAATCGTCCGTTATCGACCGACTCCAGACCGATTTTGAATTTGTAAACTGTCATTGTGCTCTGGAAGAAACAATTTGTATCACTCTTGCTACGGATATAATTTGTAATCTGGAATTTTTTGCATACCTTTTTAATACGTATTTAATTGCGGCTCGCGAAAAATTTCAAATTTTGAAAAATGGCTCGGACTATCAAGGAGCTTGGCCACCCTGGGTTTATGGCTTTGTGAAACTTCTTTTCTGAGTTTATGCCGTTGAAATAAATAAATAATAAAAAAATTAAAAACATTTGTCGGTTTTGTTTACACCTTTATTGGGCCGCATTGGAACTTGCTTTGGGCCGCATGAGGCCCGCGGGCCGCGGGTTGGACACCCCTGGTCTACGGTTTAATTAAGATTAAATTGTCGATTTGTTTTTCAGTATTAAGGAATACACCTTCCTCGGTTATCTTATGTGAAAATTTATTTTTTTAATATTATCTTCCGAAATGTTCTACTCATGAGTGATCATCTCATAGAATCAAGCGTTCAGAAGTCAATAACAGTTATCGTGAATCTGGTGACACTAAATAGGATACAGTTTCCCATAAAAGACCTCCCGGGAAGCATTTCCCCTAGGCAGATTACCTATGTGTCACGTTGCCTTAATGGAATAAACTAAATATACATAATCTTGTTGAATAAAAGAATGGAAACGGATCTCAAACTGGGAGTCATGGGAATTTCAAGATTGCCAAATTCTTGGAGCATCCTGGCGAATCCGGGAGAGTTGAAAACTTAATCCTGATTCTTCTGGTTTGTGACACGCATTTGTCATGTAATCATGCAGACAGTTGTCAGAAAACAACAATAATAATAACTAATAAAAATAAAATTTTACGATTTTTGGAATTTATCATTAAATTGCATCCTTCCTATTTTTATTTACGGCATACTTAAGCGGTCCTGTTAGGAAGGATGGGAACAGAGAGGTCTTCCTCCCTGTTCCCATCCTTCCTACACTGGGTGCCTCATATTGGCTGTACTAAAATCTGATCACTTTAATTAATTGCGTCTTCCTGATACCTTAGTATGATTTACCATTAGTTCGTACTACCACACTTCGTGGTTAAGACCAATTCCATCATTTTCTGGGACGATTTTTACTTAAATATCTACTCAGTAGTTGCAACAGAATAAAAAATTGAAGAGAATCTGCTAAATGCCTGACTGACTATGTCTTTTTAACTTGTTTATATGTATATATCAAATAAGGGTATCGTTGACCATGCAGTGTATCGATGTGTTTCGTACAGAATCAAGCTGGATATCATTACTGTGGTTCGTTACAATTAATTTCGAGGTTAAAGTACTACTAAAAACTCATTATTCCACTTGAAACAACAGAAATGCGTGCATTATGCGTAACAATCATTAACACTTCAAGTGTCGAATCTTAGAACAGAATTTAATTATAATTATCAAAGCATTTGAAATTACTTTAATTTAGCCTATATAACACCTTTTTTTCTTAATAACTAAAATATTTCCGGTCGAATGGAAATATCGAACTATGTTTTCCGGGTGGAATTTTGTCTCATTCTTTATTCTTGCCCGAGTAATTTTATAACATTTTTCAAACAAAGTGTGATACAGAAATAACTTTTTAAACTGCAACATCACATTCACTGATTCATTTAATCGCCGATGTGAAAGGTTCGAATAAAAGCAGACTTCCTTTAAAAAATGAAGTAAATACATCAGAACCNTCCTTCCTACACTGGGTGCCTCATATTGGCTGTACTAAAATCTGATCACTTTAATTAATTGCGTCTTCCTGATACCTTAGTATGATTTACCATTAGTTCGTACTACCACACTTCGTGGTTAAGACCAATTCCATCATTTTCTGGGACGATTTTTACTTAAATATCTACTCAGTAGTTGCAACAGAATAAAAAATTGAAGAGAATCTGCTAAATGCCTGACTGACTATGTCTTTTTAACTTGTTTATATGTATATATCAAATAAGGGTATCGTTGACCATGCAGTGTATCGATGTGTTTCGTACAGAATCAAGCTGGATATCATTACTGTGGTTCGTTACAATTAATTTCGAGGTTAAAGTACTACTAAAAACTCATTATTCCACTTGAAACAACAGAAATGCGTGCATTATGCGTAACAATCATTAACACTTCAAGTGTCGAATCTTAGAACAGAATTTAATTATAATTATCAAAGCATTTGAAATTACTTTAATTTAGCCTATATAACACCTTTTTTTCTTAATAACTAAAATATTTCCGGTCGAATGGAAATATCGAACTATGTTTTCCGGGTGGAATTTTGTCTCATTCTTTATTCTTGCCCGAGTAATTTTATAACATTTTTCAAACAAAGTGTGATACAGAAATAACTTTTTAAACTGCAACATCACATTCACTGATTCATTTAATCGCCGATGTGAAAGGTTCGAATAAAAGCAGACTTCCTTTAAAAAATGAAGTAAATAGTTCAATAGAAACGTTCGTTAATGGAACAAGGCAAGTAACACTTGGACGATATGCCTCCCGGAAAAACTTTCTATGGGAAACTGGCCCTTATTTAGGTTTTACAAACGGAAAGAAAGCCCGGAAAACTCAACATTGCCACTCATTGAAGGGACATAAACAGGCGATATTGCTAGGGTCTGTATATATAAACACATACACACTTATACACACATAGCTGGCATACATACAGACACATATATACAATGTATATATTTCTTTCAAACCTCATTTATGTGGTTAATGATTTAGTTACTAGAATAATAATTTTAAAAATTAAAACTTTCTCAAATAACAGATAAATTTATTATCACTCGAAAAAAAATACAATTAAATCCATTTTAATATTACGAACATTTTTACAATGAATTCTTTTATTGCTTATTAATTCAATTAATAAAAGAAATATATAATTTATATAATATAATTAGAAATATTTTCTTAATACCATATTATGGATTTATTGGTGAGTGATTTTTATTTAATTATCATTTAAAAATAAAATTTGAATAATTTATTTTTAGCATAAAACACAAACTACATTATCTTCTTTTTAATCGTAGAAAATCTTATATAAGAATTATAAAATAAATAAATAAATAAAAATAAATAGGATAAATAAACAAGAAAAATATATTCTAATTCATCTTTCGAAGAGTCACATTCTTGTTTATTAATGAGTCTCCAATACATCCAAATGGTAAATGAAGCCATTAACATCATTTGCAACGTTTGAATAGCAGTAATGAACATAGCCACAAAGGTGGGAATCCGAATATTCATGGCTTTCACAGTGAAATATAAATACATAAAAGAATGTACAAGGCCATTAATAACACCAGCCACTATTCCAATGCTAACTTCTCGATACGAAATAAACCAAACTAGAACTAGAGTGACAACATGGTGATACCAATGGAGAAACATCAACCTTCTTTTTCTTAAAACAATTAATAAAGTATCTCCTAATTCTAAAATTTTTGAAAATAAAAATAATAAAGCCCAGAATGTAAATCTCGGTATACTCTGAATAAATAATTTATCGCATAAAATAAAAATGAAATCGAAATTTCGATATTCATACATTAGTATGGGCGCTACTCTTATTGTAAAACAAATGCTAAACAATGCTAGAATTCCGTTCCAGATAATGTTTACCCGTCTGAGATCGAATGCGGAACGGGATTTCATGAATTGTCGTAGAAAATAGATGACGAGCAAATAAATAGCAGATATATGAAATGTATAACTCCAATATCTTTTTACGAAATGTTTCGCGTTTTCCGTTGTAAATAATGCTTCAAATTGAAACGAAGACGGAAGCGTTTCATTCAGGTGGTACTGTTTCATCTTCTACAAATTTCCTAAGAAAAAATAAAAACTATGTATACATTCGAACGTCCAATAGTGTTACCTCCCAACAACGGAGGTATGGGTTACTTTTTTTGTACTTAACCCCGCTAAAATGTAGTTTTTAGACAAACTAATTAGTTAAAAAAATACTTTGATTAATTAAAAATTAAATATACTTATTCGATGCCGTCTAGAGAGAAATTAGCAGTTCATACGCGATCAAATCTGGTATGGTGATATTTCAGAATATAAAATGAAAATAAGTGCAAAAACTCACCACTGTGGCACTTTTGGCACTGCAAGCAACAAACGTTTTATTTGTATAAGACAGAAACCTTAGCGATGCGGCGTATGTACTGTTAAATGTGATCCCCCATTCTGAAGTTGGTAAGTAGTGTGTTCCACGGACCGACCGTAATGGATCCTCTGTGATGCTTAACACATGTAACGTGACACAATCTTTCAAGGCTGTTAAATTTACAACACCTCGTTCAATAACAACATATTTAAGTGTTCACGAACCGAATTTGGTTCATTTAATCTGCTAAATCTCTCTCTAGACAGCTTCGACAGGGGTACTTAATTAATCAGCCGCTATATTGTATCAATAAATAAACCATAAAATTACACTAGGAGTATCTGATAATTTATTTTATTAAATATCATTTATTATTTATATTTTTTATAATATTTATTTTTTCTGCAGTTCAATTAAATATATCCTATTTTTAATTTTTAAATAATACAGTCAAACTTCTGAACAACGGACACTGACAGGAACATTAAAAAATGGCCGTTGTTGGGAGGTCAATAATTCTAAGAAATTACAAAATTGTCAACTTACCTTTCGCCAATGTTTGAAGACTTTTGATGCAGAATGTCAGGGTTTTATATATATATTTTTAATAAAAAACATATATAAATACTTGCAATTTGGATACAGTTTTATATGTCTTGATTATTTCTTTTGAGTAAATCCAAACAACTTCTTCGATTTAAATTTGTTTTTATTTGATTTGATCAATGTCAATCAATCACTATTGGTCATACAGACGTTGATAATCATCTTCTGGGACCAATCATTTAGATTTTTAAGATGTTAAAAATAGATTGAGATAAAGTATTTTACGCTCTAATGAAATTTACAGCTTAAAAAAAAAAGGAAAAACGAGAAAAAATAAAAGAAAGAAAGAAAGGTATGCCAAATTTCTACATGAGTAAGTTTCTAACACTTATATTTACGTGTAAATTTCACATACAGTTGATTCTGTCTTGGTAGGATTTCATCCGGAAAGAATTCTCCCGATAGATCCTGGTAGGATTTTATCCAATATAATTCTGTCTGGTAGGATTCTACGATGGCTCCATTTATAAAAAGCTGGCAATGTTGTTACTGGAGTTTCCTGGTATTCTTTATTTGTTTTGTCCCTAATAATTGCTACCATTACTTTTAAGTCTTCAGATTGGTTCGGTAGATATTAAGAGGGTGCGGCTATATCTTCCTAACCAATGGTCCGTTTTTCCTGAAAATTTCTAGAAGCATTTTTCTCTAATACACAAACTTTCCTGCAAAATTTCAGAAATTTTAAACAAAATGTATAGGAGTTATTAAGCTTTCAAACTAGGTGAAAAAAATCATGCTCCCAAACACATAGACATAGAAACTCCCAGCTTTTTTGTATTTCTCGACGTTTTAAGGTTCCTGAGTCCAAAACTGTAAAGAGAAAGAGTCATATTTTGACCGATCGCCATACTTTTCCTCTGTTATATAACAGCCGGGAAAATAAATTGTTCATTATATTGGATGTTCACTGTATCAACATTCCACTATAGTTTTTATCTGATATTCACGTAAGAGTTTTCATTATCTTTACAAACAAAAGAATTTATATTTAGTAGTAAATACTTTAATTTTTAAGAATAATAAGGTTTTACTCGAATTTTGCTCTAAAATTCTTAACACAATGGGCTTATTGAGTCGATATCATTATGGTGTATCTTTATGCCATATCTGTTATTTTCGGATGCTTTCATAGTTTTAAAACAAAGCTTACAGAGAGACAATAATCTTTCTTTCGAAAAACCTACCACACCGCGCTTATAACTTTAATATTGACGCCTTCTTAAATATGCTGCCTCCGATGTGGGCCGGGCCAAATTCTTAATGGGAATGGGGGAGAAAAAGACCCTTTTGGTGTTCACAGGAAGGAAAAAGTCAAGAAATACTTTTAAGGTTTCTCCGAATTAAAGAATTTTATTCCTTACAACGATAGCGTTGCAGAAAAATTCTATCAATTTTAACACTTAATTTATTAAAATGATTTTTAAAATAATTTTTTATTGAATTTTCTCTTAATAATTTCTTAAATCTACATACATACATTTTACGTTTTTAAAATATCGCAAAGATCGGCGTTTACAGTATATCAACACACCGCTTATCTACTAGTATCAGTGATAAGAAGCGTAAACACCAGTCCATATTTGCATTTATATAATGTAGGTCTATATAGTTGGTGAATCATGAACCCGTGACCAATGAAACAGTCGATCGCGGATTCATGCTTCACCAACGAGCTGGCCGCGTGAAGTTTTTCGAGTTTTCTTTGCGTGCTTAATACCTAAATAGTTTCCAATGTTCCATAGAAAATCCTCCCAGAAAGCATCCCACCTTGATAAATTGCATTGCCTTATCTCCTCAATCCTACAAATCAAGATTATAAATTAATATATACAGTATATAAGATGGCGGTTTTTATTTTCAAGCTCCGATGGTCCATAAAACAAAGACAAGTGTAAATAACAAAATGAATTTATTACCAAAAGTCAGGTACAAACATGGTTACTTTTCGACATAATCACTGTGAAGATTGAGGCATTCGTCATATCTGTGGACGAGCTTTTCCATTCCCTTGTCATAGAATGTTGCCGCCAATGACTTGAGATGCTAGCTCTGCTAGCCTCTGCCCTGCTAGCCACGTTTTCAGTTCAGAAAAGAGGTGGAAGTCTTCACATATTAAAAAGTTTTAAGCTGGGTGGAAGTCTGAAAGGTGAAAGTCTTCACCACTTTTAAACACCCAGCATATAGTCTCGATTTAGCGCCGAGCGACTTCCACTTCCTTCCTGAACAGGAAAAGCGGCTAGGAGGACAGAGATTCGAGACAAATGACGATCTTCAAAACAACGTTAGAACCCATCTCAAGTCATTGGCGGCAACGTTCTATTACAAGGGGATGGAAAAGCTCGTCCACAGATATGACGAATGCCTCAATCTTCACAGTGATTATGTCGAAAAGTAACCACGTTTATACCTGACTTTTGGTAATAAATTCATTTTGTTATTTACACATGTCTTTGTTTTATGGACTATCAAAGCTTTAAAAAACAGCCTATGTATATATTTATAAGCCTATATTAATAAGTTTTTTCGAATACACGGAAAAAACTATAAAAGTAAAATATTAAATTTTTATTTGTATTTTGATATATTTTTAAGGAAAATGTTAGCAATAATTTAACGATTTTTGCATCGCTATATTGATAAAAAAATAATTTTATTTTGGTTTCTTCACTTCAATTTTGCTATTCCGGCTGTTATATTGATATATAACAGAAGGAAAGTATGGTAAAGAAAAATGACCCTTTTCCAGATTTTTACATTTTTGGACTCAGCAGACATTGAAAGTCGAGAAATGCAAAGAAATTTGTTTTTTTTTCCTGTATGTATGATGTTAGTGAGGGAGTGTGTGTGTATGGGGACGCGATTTTGTTCACCCTCTTTGAAGCTTAATAACTTCTGTGCTTTTTGTCGAAAATGTCTGAAATTTTGCAGGGAAGTTTGTATATTAGAGAGATTGATGCTATTAAATTTTGGTTTTTTAAGGTAGACAAGGTGAGAAGATAAAGGGTGGTCGTATGTCATATCTCGAGTAGACTCGGAATTAATGACGATTTTACTTATTATTAGCATTTACAATTTTTTATAAAATCTATCCCTACCCTCAAAATTAAGCTTTTAGCCATTTTATAATAATAAAAAATATAAAAAGTTTTCAATAAAATATAATAGATGGTGCCACCAAATGTTATATGTAGAAATGTTCCGGATCTTTTAGATGCTGTAAGGCGTAACATTTTTGTATGGTAACTATTACTAAACAAAGACCTTGTAACACTTGCCGATTTAACTTTAATTAAAAATTAACATTAAAATTATTTTAAAATGATATTTTCATTTTAAATGAGTGATCCTTATCGAAAAAATAGGTATAAAAAATGTTTCGCAACGTTAGATTCGATTTAAACGCCTTGATCCATTAAAATTATTCTAGTATATCAAATGTAATTGTATCATGTAAATAAATCATTTTTTACATAAAATATATTATTAACATTGTTTCTATCATCATCTATACTTTTTCACTCTACAATAAAAAAATATTACAGAACGTAAAAGAAAATAATTATCAATTTATTGTTTTAGATGCAATAAATATGCGTCTTTTCATGCAGTAAATGGTAAAAAAAAATTAATTAAGAGTTAAAATTAACGGATTGAGTAATTAATTTCATTAGATATTTTTAGAAAAATAATTGCTTTAATATAAATGTTCGGGAACACATATTGGGCCGAATTTGATGGCAGATAACAGATGAAAGAATAAGTTCTAATAATGGAATTGTGTATAAATAATATAGGACAAGTAGATGTGTCCTGCAAATAAAACATGCGAATATGAAAGTTAATATGGCAAATTATAATAAAAATCTATATAATGTAAAGCGAAGGTAGGCGAATAGACGAGAGTTTCTTTTCTCATCTTTTAAAATAGCACCAGTTTTCTTAGTAGACAATGAATAGTAAAGAAGAACAAATACGTTGTTAAAATTCGTTCCGAAATCTGCACACCTTTATGCATTTTAGAAAGGAGATACTTTGACAGCTAACTGCGGTCATTGTAATATTTTTAATAAGCCATATAATATCGAAATTGTTG